AGGATGGCAGTTTCCTTCCCTAACAGACATTAGTGAACCAGATGGGTTTTTCTGACAATCGCCAACAGATTCATGGTCGTCATTAGACTCTTAATTCAAGATATTTTTTTGAATTCAAATTCTACCAGCTGATGTGGGATTCGACGCTGGGTCCCCAGAACATCATCTGGGTCTCTGGATTAACAGTCCAGTGATAATACCAGTAGGCCATCGCCTCTCCTTTACACAGTGGTTAACCCTAAAATAGTCCATTTCTTCTTCATAGCAGTGATCCTGTTTTGGATCATATTTTCCAGAAATCCTTTGGTCTCTCTAATGCTAGCAGTTCGGGTAGCTGCCTTTCCTTGGTGTACAGGTGAGCTCACACCTGACTTGATGTGGACTGTGTGTACCCATGGCAACCTCCTCATAAGGAAAAATTCTGCACAACTTCACACAATTCCATTTACCTTTGCGAGAGAGTTTAAAAGCAAACCATCTAGCATCATAACAATCTGTCTCAGAGCAATGAGTATTGCTTAGCCTTTAAAGTGGTAACAGCAGTGCTGAGCCAGTCTGCTAATTGCATTAGTGCATCTGGAGGGAGGAACTAGTGGACGCATGCTGAGGAGGCAGATCATATTGGCAAGCAGTGAATAATGTGATTTGATGTCAGTGCTTCACTTTGGAGTTCAGTTCCAGCTAGTGTCCTCTGTTAACTTCACAGAGCTGATCACGTATTTGGCAGCAGGAAGGCTCCCTTCACCTGTGCCAATTAAATGGCTTATCAGTTGTTTTCAGATTAGTTGTTAAATGAGTTCCATTGACCCTTCCTGCTAAAGTATTTGATAGTCTCCTGAATTGTTTAAAGTTGCTGATGTTTGGACTTGGTACTCAATTCAAACTTCCACACAAGAAAACTAGCTCCTAGTAATCTTGAGGAAAAATAGCATGGTGCTGCTGCACAAGACACTACCAATCCCCATGGTATGCCTTTGATTTGTTTATTTGTTAGCAGACCCTTCCAGCTACTTTGAATGCTGGTATCCATACCTAAGATGGCTGTGTGGTTGGGTATGATGTTGGCCAGCATTTATATGCTACAAGGATAGGCTACAGGCTCTGTGGAAAATCCTGTGAGAAGTTAGTACTGGACTCCTTTCATGTGTTTTGACATTGTCATCAGGCCTGCTAATGCATCAAGGATTTCATCATGCATATCCATCAGCCCTTTTCCATAGGCCACCCCATCAAAGTCAACCTTTGCAACCAAACCTGCCCTTTTTGATGAACTAGAGCCTGTCATACCTTTGTTCCTGACCTGACTATGGACCACTTGAGCTCTATCCTGCGTTACTTGCAGCATCTGAACTTGATTGTTGTGGGAGTGAATGCTGTTTGTTTTCTTCATCACTGCCTCCCTACTCTTCCTTGCATTCCAATACTGCCTGGCCAATTGACAGTTCCTGGATATCTAAAAGAAAGGCACAGGGTAGAATTCTCTTTCACAAATTGCAGTTGATGCTAGATCAATTGGTTTAAAATCTGAAATACATTTTTGTTAAGTGAAGGTATTAAGGTTTATGGGTCCAAGGAAGATATATGGAGTTAGGCCGCAGATCAGTCGCGATCACATTGAATGGTGGAGCAGGTTCAATGGGCTGAATGGCTTACTCCTGTTCCTATGTTTCTGTGGTTGTGATGTGAGAGAAGAGGGAGGGAAAGCAAGAATTCCATGCTTCGCACCCTCTCCTATTTGTACATTAGAAGAGATTATGTGAAGAAAGGTTAACAGTGAAGGTTCTTTCTTTAATGGATTCATCCCTGCCATTGGCCATTTGTATTAGCAATGGTGGTTCAGTTTATGGAAACTACAGTAGCATGCACTGATGTAAGGTGGAACCAAGCATGTACCTGCATTTTAGGTGCCCTTGTCTCTGTTTATGCACCACCTTGTACTGCAAAAGAGGGGAATTGTGTGTCAGTGCAGTTCATGTTTGGATGAGGTAGTTTATCATGGTTTTAACAGATTAGAAAATGTATGTATGTTATATGTAGGTGTGAAGCTAACAGTAGTGCTAAATGTGAAGGTGAGATGAAGTGGCAAATGATAGATTGTGATTGATAGAGGTTATTGGTAGGTGAGTGATTGTGGTGTGGTACATTGAGTGGTGAGAGAGGGTCCTAAATGGTAAACATTTAATGCAGTGACCTTGAACACCTGTGTGGGGTCATTGAACATTTGTGAAACTGAATTATACTTACTGCAACTAGATTTGTCGTTGTCTGCCATTGCTCTAATCTTACTGCCTTCACTAAAGTTTGTCTCATGGGCCTTCTGGCCCCCTATGGACAGATGTCATTTTTCCTTCTCACCAGCTCCTGCTAAAAGACCCCCACTGTGCTTTTGGAAAATCTTGGAGCCAGTTCTTTGCCATTTTGTACAATTCTTATGCCTTCCTCAGGTAAGAATACGTGGAACCATAGAGTTATGAGTCTGGAAACAGACCCTCCTGTCCAACTCATCCATGCTGACCAAGTTTCCCAAACTGAGCTGGTCCCCTTTGCTGCATTGGGCCTATATCCCACTAAACCTTTCCTATTGTACCTGTCCAAATGTCTTTTAAATGTTGTAACTGTACTGCATTTACCATTTCCTCTGGCAGTTCATTCCGCATATGAACCATTCTGTGTGAAAAAATTGCCCCTTGGGTCCCTTTCAAATCTTTCTCCTGTCATTTTGAAAATATACCCCCTAAGTTTGGATTCCCCCACCCTAGGGAAAAGACTTTTGCTATTCACCTTATCTACGCCCTTCATGATTTTATAAACCTCTACAAAGTCATCCCTCAACTTCCTATGCTCCAGTGAAAAAGCCCCAGATTATCCAGTCTCTCCTTAAAACACACAATCTCCAGTCCCAGCTACATCCTTGAAAATCTTTTCTGCATCCTCTCCAATTTAATAATATCCTTCCTATAGCAAGGCACCCAGCACTGTACACAGTATTCTAAATGATTTCTTGCTTCAGCCAAGCAAGCACCTTCCTTTCAAGGGATTTGTGGTGGTTTTAAGTGGTACAGGTTAACTTTGTTTTACTTTTAAACTTTATAACTGTTGCTAAACTCTTGGTTTTGCCCACCCTGGCCAAAAGATCAGCCTCTGAACCACTCATTTGGCAATGGCTACACATTTAAATTGGCAGGCAGCACAAAATTTGCAGCTCTCTGCATCCAAAGCAACAGGTTGGTTTAATTCTACGTTGCAATCAGTGCATCCATTTTTAGGAGTTATTAAACTTTACTGCCAAGATGTTTGATACTGTTCCCTTAAAATGTAAAGTTAGTAAAGATTATTGCACTAAACGTTTTGGAAGTTTTTTCTAGCTTTAAGCACTGTGATGTAGGTCAGTGCATTTTTTTCTTCCTCCATAAATCTGCTGAGAAATTCCAAGGACACATTGGGTTTTTTTTATTTTATGCTTGAGCAGCACATTTCACTTTTTGTATTGTCTTTAATCCATGCTGTTTTCATTTGTCTGCTTGACTATGTTCTTATTTCCTTTTTCTCCACTTAAATTCTGAAGTCTTTAACCTTCGAGCTAGCAACAGCCAAGTCTCAGTATGAGCAAATAACAGAGGATATGAGAGCTTTGAAGGGGGATAAAGAAAAGCTGATCCAGCAAGGAGATGCAGTAAAATACGAGAAAGAGTCCCTATTCTCTGAACTTTCAGAACTGAAGTTGCAGTATATTTCCTTGCAGAAAGACCAGCAAGTGTTAGAATCAAAGAACAAGGAATTGCAGTTGGAAAAAACAGCATTTTTAGAAGAAAGGCAGGATTTTGAGTGTAAACAGCAACAACTTATTATGGAAAAGGAAACTTTAGAAACTGAAAAGGAACAATTTCTTATAAAAACAAAATATCTGCAGCAACTACTTGATAAGTTAACAAAAGAAAATGAAGCTCTCCAAGACTCTCAGTCCAACGTAAGTAAACAACTGGCAGAAATTCAGATAAACAGCAGAGTAGTAGATTGTGAACGAGCACAGCTGCTTCAAGAAAAGGAAGAGTTGTTATCAGCCTATAGGGCAGCAATTACAGAAAAAGATGATTTTGCAAAAGAAAAGGAAAAGATTGCAGAAAATTTCCGCAAATCATGTACAGAGACAGCCATTGCTCTTGAGAAATTGACAAAAGAAAGAAATGACCTGATGGTCGAAAAGGACTCTGATTTACTGAAATACTCAAAGCTTGAAGCTCAGTATGACTTTTTAGCTAAGGAGAAAAATCTGCTCCAATCAGCAAATAATGATCTTGCATCTAAGAAGGAAACTCTTGAGAATGAGAACAGAAATCTCAGTTTAAATTTTCAGAAGATTGTCCATGAAAAGCAAGCCTTAATTAATGAAAGGGACCAACTGCAGAATTATAGTGATCTTTCGAAGGAAGAAATAAAAAAATATATGAAAGAAAATGCAGAGCATAAGGCCTCCATCTCCAGCCTGTCAAAACTCTTGGACGAGATTAAGAGTAGTAGGGAGGTAACAGACTCTGAACGTGTCCAGCTAGTCCAAGAGAAGGAAGTGCTGACAACATCTCAAAGAAAACTGACTGTGGAAAGGGATGAACTTGCTAAGGAAAAAAATGAGTTGTTTGCAAAGCTACAGAAATCCCTTGAGGAGACAGCCAACATTGAGAAAAAGTTCAATGAAGAAAATGATGCACTGAAAACAGAGAGAGATTCACTTAGGCTGAAACAGACACAGCTCAATACTCATTGTGAATCTTTACAAAGAGAGAAGGAAACCTTAGAAACAAAAAGCAATGTGCAATTGTCAGAAAATGAAGCTCTTTCAGGCGAGATAGCTAGAATTAAATCACAACAACAGCAGCTCATCACTGAAAATACAGCCAGAGATGCAGAATGGGATCGGCTGCTCAGCAACATTGAGTTCTTAAAGAAAGAAATTGACCAACTGACCAAAGAAAATGAAGGACTCCAGGTCTCAAAATCAAATTTGTCTACACTTTTGGATGAAGTTCAGAACAGCAAAAAAATTGTGGATTCAGAGAGATTCTGCTTGTTGCAGGAGAAGCAGACACTCGTAGCTGAGCTTCAGGAGCAGTGCTCTGAAAATGTAGATCTTACTGCCCAAAAGGTGGAATTAGAGGAGAAATTCAGTAAATTGAATGAACAGGTGAGATTATTTGAGAGCCAACTAATACAAGACAGGAATGCAGCAAAAGTGGAAAAAGAGTCTCTCATTATGGCTCATTCAAAACTTGAAAATCATTTCCAGTTATTGCAGAAAGAAACAGATGCCCTTAGAGCTAAAAATGATGAACTACTTTCACAACGAGACTTGCTAGTAAAAGAAAAAGAGATCATTGATATTGAACTAAAGAAGTCTGCTGGTGAGAAAGAAGACCTAATAGTTGAGAAAAATAGGCTGATGTCCAATGTTGAACAGCTAAAGAAAGAGCTTGATATAGTAACAAAAGAAAAATTAGAGACTGAGGTTTCACAATGCAATATTTCGAGACTCCTGGATGAATTCCGCAGCAGCCAGAAGGTATCCGACTTGGAACAGTTAAAGCTCCGGGAGGAGAAAGATAATTTACTGGCTACAGTACAAAAACTACATACAGAAAAAGAAGAGCTTGTTAGAATGAAAGTTGAGCTAGTTGACTCCCTGTGTAAGGTACGTGAAGAGGCTGCTGTTTCTGCTCAGGACCGTATAGAAGCTGTATCGAAATTCCAACAGCTGCTATGCGAAAAGGAGGTGTTGCTGGAACATGAAGAAAATCTTGCTTCCAAACTAAAAGATCTTCAGATTCATCAAAATATTACTTTATCAGAGAAAATTGAGGTACCAAATATAAATATTCAGATAAGTCCAGAAAGTTGTGGGCACTTTTGTTTACTAATGAGTGCACTAACAGATTTAGTTTTCTACTTTTCTGATCATCATTAACACTATAACTGTTTTTAGATTGAATTTAATTCTGGGAAATGATTTTTGTGGCATCTCACTTCAATAAATGGTGTGGGTAATTTGCACAGATTATTCATCTTAAATCCAGAATCTCTCTCCCTGAATTGCATTGTACACAAAATTATTGTTCAGGATTGTGGATAAAATGAAGCTTTAAATGTGAATATATATTAAAATGAAAAATGTTTAGGCTTTTTTCTGTTCATTAACCAAACTAAGTTAATTTTTGTCGTGTTCAAGTTATCAAAAGGACTATTTATCAAGTTCTCAATCTTAACAGACTGATCGTCCTCAGCCATAGAATTTATTGTTTTTTAACAAAAAAGTCCTGATCTTGGCAGAATTTTGTTTTATGCAGAATGCACTTTTTTCTAAATCTTAACTTTTCAATTAATCACAGTGAAATCAGTGTTTACTGCCAACAGCTAATTTCAACAAAAACAAGAACAATTTGAAGCAATTAAGCAGAAATATGCAAGTGTAAAGCTGTTGAGCTCATGTACCCATTAGGAAGTTTGGTTCCATAGTGATTATGTTGCTGGGCTAGTAATCAAAAGATATTTTTTTTTAATATTGGAGGCTTGAATTTAAATCTCACCACAGCAGCTGAGAAATATAAACTAACTTTAAGAAGCTGGTATTTGTAGTGATAACCTTGCAAACACCAAATTTTAATCAGAACATATTTAGTTGACAAATGTCTATGAAGCAAGGTCACTGGCCATTTTTTGCCTGGTTTTATTGTCTGATTTCAGGACACAGTAATGTGCTTGAGTCTTAATTGCTGAAAAGGCCTAACAAGTTATTTCTGCGCTACATCTGTGTGAATGCTCACCAGTCCAGTTAAGTCATGACAAAGTGCCACTTGATAAAACACTAGGGGTGCCAGTGCGCATTGAAAGCATAGATTAGTATGTGTTCCTTTTGTTTGAAAGATGAGTTTGTACATTTAAGCTAAATTTAAGCAAGTTAAATGAATACACAGAGTTGGCAACAAAGTAATGTGGTAAATTATTATGTAATTAATTTTAAAGCAATATCTTGTCCCTGTTGGCAGTTTCTGATCTGAGAATTTTAACTATGCTTTTCTAAATTAATAATTTAACTTGTAAAAAATTAATTGCACATTTGCCATCACGCTGGATCTGACACATCAGAATTTTTAAATTTGTTGCACACATTTTCTGCAAAATTTTCAAGTGTTTAGTGGAATTGTGATTGACATTCCACTTGATTTTATGGAATGTCAGGACAAAAAAGTGATTAAAATTTCTAAAAACAAATACTATGTTTCATAAAACCTCTGTTTTTCAAATCAGACTTACATTACGTACAAGACATCAATTAACTTAATCAGTCTATATGAATTTTAGAATTTTCTGGTATCATGTTTTAGTGACTTTTTAAACAATCACTTTAAATTAGGATATTCCTTGTATTTCTAGGCTTCCAAAAAAGTTGAAGAGGCTGGACAGTTATTAGAGAAGGTGATGAAGGAAAAAAATATGTTGGATCAACAGAAAGCTGAAATGTTGATAGAAATAGAAGAATACACACTGAAAAACCAGAAGCTTCAAAATGAGGTAAAAATTGGCCGAAGGGTTTGTTCTATGTTGGCTGAAGAGCATAGCGTATATAAAACTGTTCAGTGAGATACTGTCTTACTGTTGTTAAAATACATGAGAAGGTGGATTAAAAATGGAATGAACCTGTTTGCCCTAATTGGTGTTTCTTCAGGAAGGTCTGCTGAGTATAAGATGCAATTTTTTTTCTTTCTCTCACCTTGAGTTTGGCATCTCATTCTTTTTAAAATGTTTGCTAGATAATTTCATGCTGCTGAGCAACAATATTTTGCATTCATATAAGCAGCTTAACTCCAGTGAAGCAAAGGGGCTTCACAAGAATGTAATCCAGCAAATAAAACAAAGTGCTGGAGAACCTTAGCAGGTCTGGCAGCGTATGTAGACAGAAAACAGAGTGAATGTTTTGAGTCCAGTGACCCCTCATCAGAACTGAAAATAGCTGGGAAAGGGTGGCATTTATGTCAGGGTGTGGGACTTGTGTGACAAAGAGAAGAGCGTAAACGGAATAAAGCGTAAACGGAATAAAGCGTAAACGGAATA